GTTGTCTGGAAAGAAAGATACAATCTGTCTCTGAAGTAAATGAAAACAGAATGTAAATATAGAAGGGGACGCCAGGGCCTGCGAACGCCTGCAGGACTACCTCGGATCTCCTGATGGACTGAAGGCAGCAACCTCTCTCTACGGTCCGTATGCTCCAGAACCGGGATCTACACACAGTGTAGAGTGTAGTATCAACACAACCGATCCCATGTACTGGTAAGTGTCGAGCCTAACCTCGGTGAAGTAGTGACGAGGCTACCAAATAAACCTGTACAATTTAAGCATATACGACAAGCAATAATAATGAAAACTAGCAGTTAAAGGTGGGAAGGGGAACATGTTGTAGGGAAATATCAAGTAACAACAGTAACTCAGGAGAAAACATAAGAACATTTTAAGGTTTGCATAAGTAAGAATAAAGAAACAATAACATATCAGCATCCACTTTCATCATTTATTGTTGCGGCGCGCAACCCGATCCAAATCATATAACACTGTTGCGGCGTGCAACCCGATCCAATCAGATATTATTATTGCGGCGTGCAACCCAATCCAATCAGGTATCACTGTTGCGGCGTGCAACCTGACCCCTCCTGTCCTCCCTTATTTCTCCATGTTGTGGCGTGCAACCCGATCCCATATAACATTGTTGCGGTGTGCAACCCGATCCAAATATACAATTCAACACCAAACACAAAGAGTCCCGGTAATGGATCAATAAGGAAACAATAATATCCCGACAAGGGAATCAACAATAAGAATAAACATATCCCGGCAAGGGAACCGATAGTAAGAATTAAATACGTCCCGACAAGGGAATCAACTATAACCAAACTTGTACCAACATTTAACTTTACAAATAAAATCTCAACTGGAACCAGTACTCAACAATAAACAACTACCACGAGAATAATCACAATTCTTGCCCAACATGGAGAATCAACAACTTAGGCATTTGTAGTATTTATCAAGAACACAACAATTACAATTTAAGACCCACAGGCATGCTTGACAACTACATATAGATACTCGTCACTACACCTATACGTCGCGCACTACACTAGCACATAACAAATAAGACACAACACCTATTCCCTCAAGCTAAGGTTAGACCAAACACTTACCTCGAATTTTCACGGCCAACTCAAGCCTCAAACATCGCTTTTCCTTTAGAATTCGCCTCTAAATTACTTGTATCTAATCCAAATTAATTTAACAACATCAATAAATGCTAGGGAGTTCATACCCAATGTTAAATTATAGGTTTTCTACCATTTCCCCCAAAAAGTCAAAAAATTGACCCCGGGCCCGCTTGATCAAAACTCGAGGTTCGGACCAAAACCCGATCAACCGTTCACCCACGAGCCCAAATATACAATTAGTTTCGAAATCCGACCCCAAAACGAGGTCTAAATCCCATTTATTCAAAAAGCCCTAACTCTACCCAAATTCCTAATTTCTACCATGAAAACCTTTGATTTTTGATTAAAAAGTGATGAAAAACATTGGGTAATTGAAAGAGTAAAGTTTAGAATTGATTACCGGCACTTTGGGGATGAATTTGTGTGAAGAAAATCGCCTCTAGGCCTTAGGAGTTCGAAAATATGAAGAAAAATTAGTTCTGTCCGCGATGGGGTCTGTTTTAAAATGACCGGGCACGCTTTCATCGCGTTCACGATGGGCCTGTCGCGTTCGCGATGGGTCAGGAACATAGGGCCATCAAATTCGCATTAAAAGGCTCGCGTTCGAGGAGCTTCATCTCCTCAAGCCTTCGCGTTCGCGGTCAGGTGGCCACGTTCGCGTAGAACAATTTGAAATCCCTCCCCCAGGTCTACTAACCCTACACGTTCGCGAGAGCCTGAATGCGTTCGCGAAGGGTAACTCCCCCCCAGCTTTGTATTCGCGTCCTGAGCTCCACGTTCGCGAAGAACAAACTGGCACCTGAGGAAACTTGTCTTACGCGTTCGCGAGTGTAGCCACGCGAACGCGAAGAACAAAATCTCTGTGCACCTGAGACAGCAAAACCTGCAACTTTTCTAAGTGTAAAAATATCCCGAAACCTATCCAAAACTCACCCGATCCCTCGGGACTCCAAACCAAACATGCATACTAACTCAATAACATCATATGGACTTACTCGTGCAATCAAATCGCCAAATTAACATCTTTAACACGAATTTAGCATTAAAATCAAAGAAAAATCTCAAAACTCTTAAGTTCAAATTTTAACAACCGAGGATCTGATTCACGTCATTTCAAGTCCGTTTCTTACCAAATTTTGTAGGCTCAACCTAAATACCATATAAGACCTGTACCGGGCTCCAAAACCAAGATACATGCCCGATATCATCAATTTCAAATACATTCAAATTTTCAAAAACTCTTAAAATTCCAGTTAAACAATTTTCTTCAAAAATTTATTTCTCGAGTTTGGGACCTCGGTATTCAATTCCGTCCCATGCTTTTCTACGGACCCTCCGGGACCGTCAAATCATGGGTTCGGGTCCGTTTACCCAAAATATTGACCAAAGTCAACTTAAATTCCATTTTTAATGGCCAAATTAGCATTTTCATCAAATTTTCACATAAAAGCATTCCGGATATACGTCCGGACTGCACACGCAAATCGAGGTGAGATAAAAGGAGGTTTTTAAGCCTTAGAATACAGAATTTACTTGTAAATCAAGTGATGACCTTTTGGGTCATCACACAAATAGTTGCATGTTTTACATTCATTTGATGCACATATTTCCATTATTTCTAAATGGCTAAGGAGGGATGAACATTGCACTAATAATTGTACAAAAAGCAATACAAGTTGTGCCTTTTCTACTAGGTATTATTTTAAATTGTGAATATGTACAGGGGTAAATTGGTAAATTCATTTCTCCATAAAAATACATGTACTGCAGTACTGTAAAACACGTGTATTGTCCTCTCCATAAACTGCTTGTAGTGCATTTTACCAAGTAAACATAGATAATTACCCATATTCTCTCACTGATCAGCGACTTTGAAGAGGATTACTAATAAATTCTCGGTGTTCTTCCGAGTTCTTCTTCTGTTGCTCCTTCGATTCTCCAAAATTTAAGCTAACTCTAATGAGTGTTGGTTGGATTTTTCAAGGTATTACTTTATTTCTATTGGTGTAAGCACAATTTGATGGGATATACCTGGTATAGCTGAGTTCCTATTTTTCTGATTGGTGAGCATATAATACTTTGGTTCTAATTTTTCGAATATTATTAACTTAGAAATCTTCATTCTACTTCTAGAGCTCTCTGTGGATATATTGCCTTTTTCTTCTCCTTTTTTCTCCAATTAAGTCTACCATTTTGTATTTGTGGTTGCAATTTTTTTGGTCTTTCTTCACGTTTCCTTGTGAATTCTGTACATGTCACACTTCCTTTTTACACACCCGAAGGTAGCACAAGGGAGTTTTTTCAATTTAAGTGATATTATTCGAAATGAGATTATTTATTTATTTTTATTCAAAGTCGCCACTTGGGATGGTTTGTTTTTTGGTGTCCCAAGTCACAGGTTTATTTTAAAATCCCAAATCGAGGAAAAAATTCGACTTTCCTTTTGAAGTATGCGAACCAGTAATTCTGAATAAGGAATCTGTTAACCTGAGGGAAGGTGTTAGGCACCCCGGGTTCCATGGTTCTAGCACAGTCGCTTAAACTATCATAATTGGCTTATTATCAGATTTTAATACATGTTTTACCTATGATACATTTCAAAATTATTAGCCGCTTTTAATTAATTTTGGGAAGATTCAACGTTATCTAACACACGTCTTGAACCACGCCACATGAAATGCACCCGCGGTCCACGACACATTTTATTTAACGTTGTTGAGATTTGGATTTGGGTCATATAAAATGCACACCCGAGTTTAAGGAAATTAATTTAAATTGCGCGCCTAAAACAACTACACACTTTCAAGTCTGCGAGGGCCATGGAAAATTCAATTAATGGCACACCTCAAATTTAAAAGAGTTATTATTAATTATCCGAGGTCCATGGGTTATTTAATGAAAATGGCACACCTCAAATTTTCTATAAGAGCTAACTAGTTTTGTGAGGGCCATAGGAAGTATAGAATTATATGTTGCCTTAGATACAAAAAAAAAAGTTTCTTCACTAGGTAAAAGAATACTAAACTTACAGTCTACAAATGGAAAGAAACGTTCAGCAATTTGTACCACCCAAATGGGCAAACGGGGTCATAAATATTCTCCCATCTTCGTCAGAGCCAAATACACAAACCCAAAAAATATACTATAGTTCAGAGAGCCTTCAAAAGAGGTCACTTTAATTCAGATCATATTCCCCTACGTGTTGACCTTTAAAGCAGAAGAGAACTAACTTGCACCAATAACTGTGCAAACAAAGTTGCCATCAGATTATTCCACTTCTAAAAGCGAACCAAAAATTGTCTGCTCCCTAACGATAATCAAATATTTTACTACTGGTCACAAAAATACGCAAATATCTCAAATGCGCTAAGTCTGCTGACCAGTTCTTGGCTCCTATATTACAACACAATTGGTTTGGCAGAATCTAAATTATCAACAATAAAGACTAATCATCTACAGCTTTCGCGTCATCAAATGAAAACAAATAGCTAAGCATTTAATGCTCTACAAATGAATTGATGTTAGCCATGATTACCATTGTTTTATAACGAAACACTTTTTCCTAACAAAATTCGTCTATGATTATGTTATTGCAATGACTTAGTGGCGCACAGATTTATTTCATTTAAATGAAGAACAATCATCCTTTTTTTTTGTGCATTACTTAGGTAGTGAGCAGAATGGAAAGTAGAACAAACATGAACAACAGATTTCCATCTTCCTATAGATAGCTCGAAGAACAGAAAGATTGTCGGCAAACTACCAAACTAACAAGCTCTCATTAATTGAAACAACAAATATATTCCAAAATAGATGTAGAATCCCAAATCTGGACAGATCTTTTAACAATTCCAGCAACAAAAATAAAAATAATTCCAGTAGCTAACATCCCTTTTGATTTTTTTTAAAAGATTTACAGGGTAATGGCATACTACAACAACAGAATTCCAAGTCATGAAACAGATTCACATGAATAAATCGAGGGACCAACAATTTTAATCATTAAAATGAAAACAGAATACAAGGGGTTTCAAACTTATCTAATCAAACAGCAACAAAATGACTGAAACAAGCTAAATGAAAAGCCGAAAACAATTGTGACAGTGAGAGCTCGGTCAATTCCTCGGCAACAGCAGAAACACCATGATTTCCAACCTCAGTTTGAACACCCAGAGATATCAACTTCAATTTTTGAACTAGTTAAGAAGGAAAACATTTCTTTTATAGCCTTGCTTTGGCTTTTGAACCTTTTGCTTTAAAACCCAGAACACTTTTTCTTTGAATTCTTTAAAAAATGCTTTTCAGTTGATCTCTAGGTGTTTGTTAGTGTATGAGGGAGAGTGTGTAGGAGAGTAGGAACGAAAATGGAGAAGATGAAAGCATCGAGCAGTAGCTCAAGCCTCGGATGCGCCGTTTCTTCAGGGGTCCAAGTCTAGGAGCTCCTGATTTTTCTATCTCTACGTGCGCCGCTGCTATCTCTGTCTTTAGAAGTGAGGTCTAATGTGTGTTTTATATGCAGAGAGAATGATGAAGAGTGGGTGGAGGAAATATTTTTGGGGAGAGTGGGGAATATGAGTGGAGAAAGTGGGGAGAGTGGGGAACATGAGTGGGGAAAGTGGGGAGTGAGTGGAGAAAAGTGAGAATAAATTCAAACATGGTCAAAAATTAAGTGCTCAAAGTACATGCATATGATTATTTGTTCAAATGCATCTTATGAAAATTCTCTGCATTGGTGCATACTTCACTGCGGCACTTTGCATACTAATGTAGCTAAGGTGCTCGATAATATGCCTAAAGCAACTAAATAATTTTTTTTTTATTTCTTTTCCTTTTTTACACAGGAGTTCTACAACTTACACATGGTTCAAGGAATGATGTATTGAAAGAGATGTATTGTTGTTGGATCGAAGCATGGTAAAAATGAAAAAAAAAACACATTTATCTAATAGCATTGAAGCCATGGGCAAGAAGGTGAGAACTTTAGAGATTGACTTAACCTCTCTTGAAACAGTCTTCTAGCTATGAGCACAAGCATGTAACATAGTTATCGCCATTTTCATTAGAATCAGAAGTTTGATCTCAAACCTCTAAAATATGTCGCACAAATTGGGAGACAAAGTTTTAAAAGCTGACACAACTATCCAAATCAGAAAAAATGAGTAACAGTCAGATATAAGATAATACTATCCAGGAAGCATACAGAAATCTCACAAACATTTGAAGAAAGTTGAACTTGAGTGTTTGAGGTTGTATGCTTGCCATTGTTAGTTTACATTGGGAGTTGTTTAGAAAGTCAGTTGCATATAGAACTTAAAGATTAGCATGTGGTTCACTATCAAAGCATACACCTTCTTGCCATGTGATAACAACCAGAGTAACAATATGTGGGATAAGAGTTCAAATATATTATAGCTAGACAACAAAATGAAGACGTGAATGAGCACTTATATGAACATCTTAAATAAGGTGAATACTTTACCAGATGCAGATGCCATTGATAAATTTTTATCTCTTTTTGAAGTCGACTACTACCGCAAGTCCTGCGACTTAACGTCAAAACTTAATTGTACAAATTATAGCTTAAATCTCAAATATTTAATAAGCAGAGCATATTAATTAATCACTCACTTGCCATAACTCAACATCTTCTCCTTGAATCATCTTTTTTGATTCTCATTTATTATTTCTTATATAGGATTTAAAGCTAACACAATTACCTATTTCTCTTCTAGGCTGATGATGACCTTTTTCCGTCAGATGTTTCCAAGTCGTCTTTAAGACTCTTGAATTTCTGAAAATTTAAGTTATTATGGCATCTCCTACAATACTTATAATGAACAGGAATGTATTTTTGTAGGTAATGGACTTGAGGCTCACTACATTAGGGGAATTGGCAGCTGTTTGAGCAAGCTATTGTCACCAAATGCTCATTTGAGGATATCGCTAATATTGAAAGGTTCTCTTATCATTTTGAAGCTATTGCCTTAAGGTAAGCTAATGGACAACAAAGGGGAATGAAGGCTTAAAGCCAGAAAAATATAGAGGTTGATAATTTGAGCATATCAATATTGAAAGAATTGCTTGAGCACTTAACATATGACTGTACCGAAGAAAAGTAATCACATGTAGGAGGTTTACTTGAAAAGTTAATCATAAGCAAATTCACTAAATAAGAAGCTTTAACCTATTTCTGATGTCATCGTATCTTGCCTTATTTTAATCACGTTGTCAAATTTTTATAGTACAAGCATTACGGTGCCACTGATATGGGATCCGAAGGAGGAATTCACATACTTTAGCAGGGCAACGTAAGTTGAGAACTACAACATAAAAGATGCTTCATCATTTGAGAATACTAAATGCTTCCTTTATACTTTTGTTTGCAGCTACTTTTAATTATAATCTTTTATGAGATTGAANTTCCTTAAGATTGTTGTTCCTCTGTACTTGTAAATAATGATTCTGGAAATTAGAACGTTAGCTTTTAAACGTAAATATAAATAAAAAAAACAGAAATTAATTCGAGCTCACTGAATTCACAGTGTTTCCTTAAGGAATTTAATCCCCTCCTAGTACCCAAGGTTATAGATTATTTCCTCCCAGGATAGAACGAATTACACACTGGTGTAGCGGTACTTCAAACCCCAGTGTTTCAGCGAACACAAAGTTCGGCAACAAATCACACTTATGGATGTTTTGTTTGTAGTTAAAAACAATGCAGAATAAGGAGGACAACTCAGAAGTCGAATGGAAATTCTGAGAGGAAGGAATGCAAAGTATAGCCAATGTTGAATTCTTACTGAAGAGAATATCAAATTGCAATTCGTTTTTCCAGTGTATACGCAGTGTATACAGAGTGTATATCCAGTATATGCAGAGTGTATATCCAATGTATACAGAGTGTATATTAAGTGTATACATAGTGTTTCAAGTGTTTTTTCCGATGTGTTCTTCTTTCTCTCCAACTTATGCTCTATTTATAGCAGTTATTTGAGAGAAATCCGCCCCTTCCATGGTGCAACAAGCACTAGATCATGGAGAAAGCACTTACATGGTGGTATATACACTTGCTTGGTGGGAGGAACACTTGCACCATTGTGGGAGGTGCACTAGGTTGCTTATTGTATTGTGTTGCAACACAATACACGGATTGGAAAACATCCGTTACAAACACGGATTATATCACGTTAATATTCACTATTAACAAATAAATTTGGTCCAAAAAATTAATCAATCGATCGATCGATCATTTGACCAAATCCGAATCCAAATCCAAATCCAAATCTCATTTCCCATTCACTCTAATTTTAAGATTATTTCATCTTAAACAAAAACTCAACAGAAACATCTTATGGGCAAATGTATTTCAAGCTTTACCACCCTTTTTTTGTTTGTAGCTTCTTTGAATTACAATTTTAGAGGAGACTTAAGAATATGTATGCAAATGTGTACCTTAGATTTTTTAGATTCATCACTCTGTTAAATTTTCTTAGAAACAGTATTTGTAATATACTTTGTGATATGCTGGTTGTTAATCAGGTTCCTTGAATATACTTTGGTGCTCATTTTGATCGATGCTACCATTTTATTGAAACCAATATTATGATTTGAGTCACATAGTTGATTTTTTGCGATTTAATTGTTGCATAATATGAGCAAGTTCTGGACATAAACGATCACATTTTATTCTGTATTATGTAGTTAATACTATTGGTTTTAATGCTTATACATAGGTTCTACAAATGTGAAGGTTGTTGTAACCTTATCTAGACATGAAATATGTTGTTGCACCCGTGCATTGCACGGGCTTCTGTTTCTAGTACTAATTATAATAGGTTTAACTGTTTTGTTATGTAAAAGTTTGTTCACAACTCCAATTGAATTTATATTTCACGACTCAATAGAAAAAATAAACAAATAAAAAATAATTAGTCAGGTTTCCTTTTAGATGAAACGCGACCCAAATTGAACCATCACACCCTTAACACCGCTAAGCAATGTTTTAAAAGGCGGGGTGTGAGGCGAAGCGTTTTACCTCTAACGAGGCGAGGTGTAAGCTCTGAGACATGGGGCGTAAGTCCAACTGATTGTTAAATTTTATTAATTTCAAGAATTTTATAGTATAAAATAAGTATAAACTGACACTAAAATCACAAAATTATAATATAATCTATTTAAAATATTTATAAAATTATAATCCAACTATGAATAATACAAAAAGTACGATATATATCATAGTATGCAAATTAGCTGCAGCGCCGTTACAACTCAAGCATCAAAAGTAATTTATTCGATGAGAAATCTTATATGTATCTCTTAAGGAGTAATGAATCTTGAAAGAATTTCGATATTATAATTTGATATTTTTTTAAATCCTCCTTTTATTTAATATGTTTTCTATTTGAAAGAGAATTTATATAAAATATAATTCACAATTTAAATATGATTCTCTAGCATCACTTATTTTTAAATTTCAACAAGTAATGAAGTGACACATAATTCACCATACAATATCATGATAAATAATTATTTGTAAATAGTTACTAGCTAATACTGAGCTATTAAATTAATAAGTATTGTAACTCGTAAACATGAAAAAATAATATTTGAGAAATAATTATAAAAAATTATGAACTAATAAAACAAAGACATAACAAAAGTTAATAAATAAATACTTTTAAACAAAAAATTTATTTAAAATTTACTATCATAGTAGTATTAGTGGATAACATGCAATAAATTTTATTTTAATCATGATATAAAATACTCTCAACTTAATGATTTATGATTAAGAAAAAAGTAATTTTGAATAGTTAATGATTTATTAAGAAAATTTGAGGATTTACAAGGTTAGTTACACACAATTGCATAAAATTCTATTAGGCAAGCCTAGTACGCTAGGCGTTGGGCGCGTCTGAGGCATAAGCCCCTACGACCAAAGTATAAGTCTCACGGAACTAAGCCCTGCACCTAAACCCAGGGGCCTTTTACAAGTGCTCCGTCCTAGGGCGAGCCTCGGACGAGTCCCAACTCTACCTTTTAAAACAGAGCCAGCCGCTAAGCAACGTATTCGCAAATTCAATTTGAGGTCATGGGTTTCCATTAACTATCCCATTAAGCAAGGTTAGATCTTCTCAGAGCATGAGGAGTAGTTTTATATTAACTTGTTTCCATTAACTATACCAGCGTAGTCTCGCTTTTTGTTGGTAGTAGATTTTTATTAACGGTTATTTTCTTTCATTGTGATCACCTTACTATCTTGTTCTCTTTATTCTGCTTTTTATATGGCTTTTGGGCTTTGTCTATATTTTCATTAATGTGAGCTTATGCTTTCCTGAGTTGAGGGTCTATTGGAAACAACCTCTCTATCCTCGCAAGGTAGAGGTAAGGTCTGTGTACACACTACCTTCCCCATACCCCAAAGGTCTGTGTACACACTACCTTCCTCATACCCCATATTGTGGGATAATACTGGGTATGTTGTTATTGTTTACAGCAGCGTACGCGATATTTTTATAAGTGGTATCAAAATTTGTAGAAGAAAAAAAATATTAATTTTAATTATCCTACTTCTAGACAAAAAATGGCACTAGTTTGCTGGGTTTGTTGAGTTTTAAGTTAGAAAAGGTCTTGAGTTTAATTCTACTTCATCACAATTTTTAACTACAGAGGCTCTCAATGTGCTCGTTGAGGTTTGATCTATAACCTCTTGGAACAAAATCATAACGAAGAGACAATGTCAAGAGGTTTCACTACAAGAAATATAATTTTTTGTGACGACTTTTTGCGGCGACACATATAGTTGCCACAAAAAGTAAGATTTTTGTGGCGACTCAAAAGTGATATTTTTAGCGACGACTCTTGCAGTCTCTACAGAAAATAGCATATATAGTGGCGACTATATGTAGGTCGCTACAGAAATGTACTAGTTTTTTACAATAAAATATGGCTGGAAATGTATTGTCGCTGCTAAAGACATTGTTGTGGCGACATTGTCGTTCCTAAAAGTGGAGTTTTTGTGGCACCTTATTATGTCGCCACTAATTATTTTATTTTGATATTGATTATTATTTTTATGGAAAAAGGTTCAAAATGCCCCTAAACTATATGGAAAAGGTTTTAAAATACCCTTCATTCACCTATTGGGCTAAAAATACCTCTCCATCCACTTTTTTTGTTCACTTATGCCCTTTGACCGTTAGGTCAATGCTAAATTAAAAATAATTATTATTCTTTGTAAAAATAAATTTTAAACAAAATATTTTTGTTTTTTTAAACTAATGCATCAATAGTCCACTAATTTAGTAAAGTCTTCTTATTTTTTATTTTTTTAGTTTTTACAAAAAAATATTTTTTTAAATTTTTTTTAGTTTTTTAAAGCATTTCTTTTGTAAAAACTGAAATTTTTTGTAAAAACAGAAAAAAATGTTTTTAATAAAATATTTTCATTTTTGAAAAAAAAAATATTTTGCAGTTTTTTAAAGCATTTCATTTATTTTTGTTTTTCAGTTTTGTTTAAAAAAAATATTTTCATTTTTTAAAAAAAACTGAAAAAAAATATTTTTCAAAAATGAAAATATTTTTTCAGCTTTTAACAAAAGAAAATATTTTATTAAAAATAATTTTTTTTCGTGTTTTTACATTTTTTTCCAGTTTTTACAAAAAATGCTTTAAAACACTGGAAAAAAAGAATTTTTTTTTTAATAAAAACTGAATTGTTTTTTGTAAAAACTGAAATAAGAAGAAGACTTTACTAAATTAGTGGACTACTGATGCATTAGTTTTAAAAAAACAAACATATTTTGTAAAATATTTTTTTAAAGTTTTACAAAAAGAATAATAAATATTTTTAATTCAGAATTGACCTAACGGTCAAAGGGTATAAGTGAACCAAAAAGGTGAATGAAGGAGTATTTTTAGCCCAATAGGTGGATGAATGGTATTTTTAAACCTTTTTCAATACTTTAGGGGCATTTTGAACCTTTTTCCGTTATTTTTATTTATATATAAATTTTACTATTAGTTGAAATAAGTTCATGTATTTTTTGTCCCTTAATATTGCTAAATAAGTACTTAAAATAATTTTATATATTTATACACTTTTAAATATAAATACTCATATATTGAAAAGGTTTGATAATAGTAGAGTTATTTAACTAAGTACTTGAAATAATTTCATATATTGTATAACAGTNGAAAAATATCTCAAGTTTTCATTGTATCAACAGAGTTCCTCTAGAAATAAAAAAGGGAAGTGAAAATAGTTACTCTCCTAAATTAGTCTCGATAGGTCCTTTTCATCATGGAGTTGACACACTTAAAAACATGGAGGAACAAAAGTGGTGTTATCTCAACACGCTAGTTAGTCGAAAACCAATAAACACACAACCCATTTTAGAAAAAAAAAAAAAAAAAAAAATCAAAACATAAAGAAACCAATGGTTCCCCCTTGAAGTTAAAGACCCAAAATTCCCCGTCAAACTCCCAGTTCCCTCTGGGCCCTTCATATTTCGTCTTCTTTATCTAAAAGAGTTTAACTCGCATTGTTTTACCATCAGAGACACAATGTCCTCTCAGCCAAGAAGAAAACCCATCTCATTTATAAAAAGAGGAGGAGATTTAAAGGAGGTCCATATCCCAAAAGTTGAAGTTTGAGTAACATTAAGGTACAATCATTTCTTTTGTGTTGGTTTGATTCAGTTTCTTTTTGGGTCAATTTGACTTTTCTCTTGCACATCACTCACATTTCCCGTCAATTCCAAATCTGTGCTACCGAAGCAACAAAATAAACAAATTCCGACAATTTCAGTTCTTGCTGACTTTATTTCTAGGGTTTCGTTGATTCTCGCAGATATTGTTGCATCGAGGTAAGCTGAAGTCACTCCTTTCTAACTTAGGGTTTCGTTATTACACCGTTTCTGCATTTTGTCAAACTTTTTGGCTCTCTAAACAACTATCGCTTTGTTGCCCTTGATGTTTTTGGCTCTGTTCATTGCTGCTTATAGAACAGGTGGCCGGCCGCGACCAGTGCCACTTTTCTTCAATTTGAGAAAATTTCCTTTGTTGAGGTTAAGTCAAAACTAGTCCTTGTTCTCATGGTTATCATTTATGTTCTGCTTTTAATGATGAATTTTATTTAGCCACTTAATTGTGTATGTATTGTTACTACATCTAATTAGTTGTCTCCTTACATTTTTATTTCTATCAATTCTTTGTTCTGCTTTTCTTTTGTTTATTTCAATTCTTGATTTTGCTTCTCTTCCGCTCTCGCTGTACACATGCTTGTGTTTTTCTTTTTGACCTTGTATCTTTTTTCTTGGTATTTGGTTCTTTGATTGGTTTTGGGAGGAAGAAAGAGTAGAAGCAATATGAAAAATTGAAGTACTCCGTTCTGTTTTCCTCTTTGAATAGAGTGTAATCTATATGGGTAAGACGAAGACAGGACATAATGCAGAACATTATTTATATCCTTAAATTAATGTGGCGAGACAAACAATGCAGAACATATTGTATATATTTAGCAGTACAACTCGAAATTGAAGAAGATTGTAGCTGTAAGGGCAGCAAATATCAGGCTAGAGAATGCACCACTCATTTCAGTATCCTCGAGATACCTTCATGCGACACTTTCCATACACCTGTGCAAGACTCCAATTCTTTTTCGATAATCATTTGTTTAAATCTATGAAAGGATGTCATACTACTGTCTGTGTGGCATGTTGATTTTCTTACTTATCTATCAAAAGAACACTGTCCTATATGACATGCAATAAACTTATCTGATTGGTTTAGCTTTTCTTTTAGTCCAATCCTGTGAGCTGCTCATCTTGGTGTACTTTTGATTTTATAAACGAGTAAAAATTATTAGTTCGAGCTAGAGGATTGTCTCCACCCTGTTGTCTTTCCTTTTACCGTTCTAAGCGGCTTTGTGGCTCTAGTACCTACTCAATGTTGAAGTGTTTCATATATCAATATGTATTTCACTTGCACTTTTCCAGTTAGTAATATGATTTCGATTTTGGATTTCCACTCCTTTATAGAAATCACCGGGTATCTCATCACTTTTGATACTGATATCCTGCTCACATCCTGTGCTTTCTTTAGGGGCTCTTTTTTTTCTCTTCTCAGGGACCTTCCAGTTACTGACAGAATAAATGTGAACCAACCTCGTGCTTGAATTTCCATGGTATCAGTAAACTGGGTTGGATGACGGATCATCTTACTTGTGAAGATGGTGGCCTTCATAAATTTGAGTATATTAGAGGTTCTCTGGTTGTATCTTTGAAGTTGCATCTCTGTGTCTATCTTGCTGTGTGCATAGCTTCTTCGTTGTAAATATTGTTTTGGCTCCTTGTATTTTAAGGCTGTTAAATATTCATACTTTTCAATGTCCGAATCATATGTAAGTTTTTCTTTCAGCCACGACTTCTTTCAGTCAATGTATCAGATTCCACCTGATCTGTTGAAGGATATGCGTGATTCCTCTTCCTTAGGTGGGATGCTTCCATATGCCAGCTTCAATGCCACATCACAAATTAAAACAATTTGGTTGTTTGGTGCTGCCTCTCCTTTTTAACATTGAAGCACGTATCTCATAATTGATAACATCAAGAGTGTTGGCACTTATCTTATGTCATTACACAAGACATGCTTTTCCTATGATCGAAGAATTGTTTCTTCAAAGGTAAAGTGCGATCATGAATCAAGTAATGTTACAGCTTTTGCCTCTTTGCATTTGGCATACAGTTGGGCTATTAGAGATCTTTCCATGCTCATCTTAGCCTCCATCTCTAGCAGCTTCCGTATATCAGGATACCCGCACCTTTTGATTCTCTGTGGTTAAATTAAGTTTCTTAGAAGACTAGAATGATGCAATGAAGCCATAGGCATATGTGTAAGAAGTGATTTAAGACACTTGCAAGTTTCCCGGATTAAGTTTGTCGTTGTTAAACCTTTTAATACCTGAGGATCTTCTCGTTTAGAAACCAATTAGAAATGAGCAATTGTATCACTTGATCAGAAGTGCTAATTGCGGGAACATTATGGATCACATAATGCTATTTATAGAGTCACAGTTGTAGGCCTCATAAGTAGTACCAGAGGAATTACACTGCATCTATTGACTGGTTATGTGATGTGTATGCCTAGTCAGTTATCACTTCTTGTTCCAGATTGTTGGCCATGCATTTTCCCTTCCACAGCTTCTGACTTTGTGTGATCAGTGAGACACCAAAGTCACGACTTAGTGACTTAGTGGTCTTTTTAGTAAGAAGACCACTTAGTGATACTTACACTTTGCAACTAGGCTTAGTCACGACTCACGACTCCTTGGTAGCTCATTTATGTAGTCAATTTTTAACACTTGTTTCTGAAAATGAACAAAGAATCTGCACGTTGCCTGAATGTCTGTTCACCTTTTAGCATGTGGGAGTTCACTTTGTTGTTCACCATCTAGTAGTTTCATTTTAAAATTAGTAAATTATAGTTGGAAGAGCACCTTTTATGAGAAACAGAGAGAGAACATAGTGAAAATTAGGACAATCTGGAAATATGAAACATGACTCATGTTTATACCATTAACTCAGGAATTATTTCAAATCTTAATATTTTCAAACTATACTTCCATCAATGTGCAGTATGATATGGTATTTAGGAAGTTTGTTCTTTTATAGAGAATACGATTAATAAATAATCAGTAGAGAAAGTTTTACTTCCTTATATTTTCCATCTGTTGTTAATATGTGTTGATTAGTTTTAATATTTAGCACTTACACATGAAAGAAGATAATTTTAGTCATCATTATTATCGTAATATTTAAAAACGCATTGGCATGATTACATCATTTCATTTCATGGTATCTAAATTTCTAACAAATCACCCTGAATTTCTTTTGTAGGTAGTAACAAATACGCTGAAGATAATAATGAGCCTTCCTATGAAACTGTACAAAAGGAGCCACACTTGGTGGGCAGCCAATATTATCTTCTTATGAAAGTTTGTGGCTGCATTCTAAGGTCATATTCTTCAAAAGGAAATGAAACTAGCCAAGGACGAGCTCGAAGACATTTGAATTGTGTTGGCTTTTTTTTTTTTTTGGCATTTCATATGTATAGAATTCCTATTTATTATGAATTTTTAATAAATTGTTCCTTGATCATTTTGTTTGATAGAACTTTTAATTGTCTTTTTAATATTAATGAATTGCTCTAATAAATTTGTGTAATATTAGTTTAAAATATTGTTGCAGCTTAATAATTTTTAAGAAGTAGAATCAGTTGGAAAAATAGGTTTTAGGGGCGACCAATTTTGTCACTAAAAATTAGTATTTGTGGCGACCAATATTGCTACTAAACATAATCTTATTGTGGCGATCTGAACGGCTACTAATGGTATGATCCCTTTTGTGGCGACTATTGTCGCTGCTAAAGTCCATCATCAGCGGCGACCTACCCCCAAATCTACTTTGTGGTTGCATGTTTTCTTTACTTGTTGTAGTGAGTTAGGTCGCCACAAAATGTATATTTTTGTGGCGACATTCAAGAGTCGTCACAAGTAACATTCAGTAACGGTTTTACTTGGAGCAACATATTAACGCTACTAAATGGTTAGTGGCGACTTGTCATGTCGATTTCTTGTAGTGAATTTCATTTGTTCCTACTTTTCCATTTCCTCGTAGTATTAATATATATATATTTAATGTCATGTGACACCGCTTTGATAACGTGCATCCGCCCCTGCTTGTTTATAGTAATTTGGCTCTTAATCCTTTTCGCTAATGGATTATCATATAGGGAAATGAAAGTGTATCGTAGCTACCTTCTTGTTGTTTTATTCTTTCCAACTCTATATATAATCTTGGATCTTCCCTCTGTCTTGTTATGTGCATTCACCTAACGATTCTTTCAAAATGGAATTTGGAATGAGAGATGTAAGGCAGATGCATGTGGCTCTGAGATTCTATGAATACTTCATTTCCTTTAATGCTTTACTAACATGAACATTATTCACAATCATAATTAAAGGAAGATTGCTGTGAATTAGCATGCTACTTTCTTTTTATTCATTTAGATGTTTACCGGGGGATTTGCATTTATACTCGCTTTTTGGGTCATGTTTTAATTTGTGCCCGCTTTGCAAAAAAAATTGCAAGCATACCCACTTTTTCGCGTAACTTCAGAATACGAGGTTGAAGCTTTTGTTTTTAACTGGCGAATTTCAGCTCTAGAGCTGAAGTTTTTGTTTTGTAACTGGCGAAAGTTTTTGTTTGTAACTGGCGAACTTCAGCTTTCTTAGAGTTGAAATTTTAACTGTCTTTCCATATGATTCGAACTTCAACCTTCAAAGAAGAACTTTGAAAGCAACAGCTATTTAACAAACTTCACTACAACTATTTATCAGAAACTAGTAGAAATCTACAGCTTTGTTTTCAAACAGTGTAGAAACAAGTTATGCAGAACATTCATAATGCAACTTAATCAAGCAAATAGTCAGTTGTCAAAAATTTCTGACCTTCGTTCCTAAAGTTTCAGCAGATCTTAGAAATACGATCAATATAATTTCAGGATTCTTAAAACCAAGAATCCTATCTTCGAACAAAGGGGTATACGCAATTCCAAAAAAGTAAACCCATATCGTTAAAATGACTTTCCATTGTCTATAAACAATGGAGTGAAAAATAGGAAGGAGTGGCCTATCGGATTGAGGGCGGATAAGGAGAAAGTGGGCTGAAGTTGTTTAAAAAGTGGGTACAAATTAAAACTTTAAAAAAAAATGGGTATAGGTTAAATGAGGGCGACCAACCGTGCAATTTTTACATGTTTACCTCATGCTTTACAACTTTTTTACTAACCTTGTAATTAATCAATTCTTAAAATTAAAAGGATATTTAGAGAAAAGGTGTAATTCAATTATTCAACCAACATTTATGCTAAATGATTGTTAAAAGACTTTTTAAACACATAAAGGTTTTTCCTCAACTCATGAAAATAGGAAAACAATATCTAAACACTTAAGTATTTCTTATTTAATGCATGCCTAAAGATATTTTGCTTTTTCTAGCTTGGTAATGGTTCATGTCAATAGAACTATATGCCAATCAACCCAAGGGCATAATATGTAAAATTATAATTTGTTTCTACCAAATTAGTATTATTAAGAATTAATTATGACCTGAGACGGCTCAATGAAATGTTAACCGACTTTGAAATCGATACAAATTGTTCAATTACCCATAAGATCCTTAGTGAATAATTAATTCTTCTTGTTTTTAATAGGTTCAATTAACCATATGTATTTTAGTCGGTCAAATATGTGAATATTTTCTCTTTCGGTGAGAATTCCTGAAAAGGAACCAGAGAGAACAAGCTAGAAAGAAAAAAACAAGTTGGGAGCAAGGTCATTCTAATAACTTCATTATTCAGAAAAAGAAAATAAATAATTGGATCCATAAGATAAAAATTGTTCTTTTGACGGTATTAACATGAAATAAAAAACTTCTTAATTTCATTCAAAACTATGACGCCATCTTTACGTACTCTAATATTTTCTAGTCTTCATTCAACCACCTTTTCTAGAGAGAAGTTAATTCTCAAATTATATTTAAAACTTTCCTCATTTTTCTAATACGTGTATCTTATCTTGGTCACAACTTAAGACCACAGCTAATTATTACGCATTATATATAGTGCGATATTTGGAATTTCATTTGCCTGGTTACAATCAAACAAATCTCCCCATTATGGCAGCTGAAAATGGCAGCACCGCCATTGCACCACCACCTCGCAAAATTGCACTGATCACTGGTATCACAGGCCAAGACGGTTCTTACCTCACTGAATTTCTCATTAACAAAAACTACGAAGTTCATGGCCTTATTCGTAGATCTTCCAGCTTCAATACCCAACGCATTAATCACATTTACATCGACCCGCATAACACCTACAAAGCCCGAATGAAGCTCCACTACGCTGATCTCTCGGACGCTAGTTCTCTTCGCCGTTGGCTCGACATTATCCTCCCCGACGAGATCTACAACCTCGCCGCTCAGTCCCACGTTGCCGTGTCTTTTGAGATCCCTGATTACACTGCTGATGTGGTAGCCACCGGCGCCCTCCGCCTTCTAGAAGCCGTTAGGTCCCACATCTCCGCCACTGGTAGGTCCCACTTGAAATATTACCAAGCCGGGTCATCTGAGATGTTCGGATCTACAGCGCCTCCACAATCCGAATCTACTCCGTTTCACCCGAGATCTCCTTATGCCGTTTCCAAATGCGCTGCGCATTGGTACACAGTGAATTACCGCGAAGCGTACGGGATATTCGCGTGCAACGGGATTTTATTCAATCACGAGTCGCCACGTCGAGGTGAGAATTTCGTGACGAGGAAGATTACTCGGGCCGTAGGAAGAATTAAAATCGGGTTACAAAGCAAGGTGTTTTTAGGAAATTTACAAGCGTCGAGGGACTGGGGTTTTGCTGGAGACTACGTAGAAGCAATGTGGATGATGCTGCAGCAAGAGAAGGCAGATGATTATGTTGTGGCGACAGAAGAGTCCCATACTGTGGAGGAGTTTTTGGAAGTGGCATTTGGGTACGTTGGGTTGAATTGGAAAGAACACGTGGAGGTTGACAAAAGGTATTTTAGGCCTTCAGAAGTTGATAATTTGAAGGGAGATGCGAGTAAAGCCAAGAAAGTGTTGGGTTGGAAACCGAAAGTGGGATTTGAGAAATTGGTGAAGATGATGGTGGATGAAGATGTAGAGTTGGCTAAAAGAGAGAAAGTTCTTGTTGATGCTGGCTATATTGATGCCCAACAGCAACCTTGATCACCTATTGTCGATCGGTTCTATATTGTAGTATTAGATTTCTTTAAATATATTGTGTTGTTAAGAAATAGTAGTTTATTTTGGTGTGATGAGATAATTATTTGTTCTATTTTCATTTTATCATTAGTGGAGTATTTGTTATTTTTACTTACTCCTATAATAATAACAAGAGAGACAGAATATCTTGAGCAGCTCCGCCTTTTCGCCACTTCTCTTTTTGTTCTTTTTTGGCCACTCCGGAAAGGAAAGTGGCGGATTTATGTACTAATTTTTGGTGCTTGAAAATGTTGTTGTTTTGGTTCTTTCACACAATCTTAGAGGACATCTTTCTAGCTTTTTTATTTTTTCACTTTTGTTAAATATTTAATAAATTTGCATGAGTTCTTCTACTTTTTATTAAATTTTTAGAACGGTTGTAGCTTAATTTGTATTCTTTTATCTCTTTCAAGCACTTCTCCACCGAATGTTGTTATACATCAGCGATTCCTCATAATCAAGTGGGAAAAAAATTAAAAAGACGAAACAAGATGGTTGTTTCCTCCTTGTCAAGTGCCAACATAATTTGAATTTAACGTGCTTCAAATGCAATTGCTTCCTGATTCTGATTCATGTGCAATGTATTCCCTTGCTATGTTAAAGCTAAAGATGTATCGAGTGCCAATAAACGAAGAGTTAATACAAGCCCACGAGTAGGGGTGTTCATAAAAATCCGAAAACCCGAACCAAATCAAACCGATACTTTTTGGTTTGGTTTGGTTTTGGTTTTGAAATTTAAAAACCGATCAAATTTGGTTTGGATTTGCTTTTAATTAAAAAAAACGAATCAAACCAAATATAGGAGTAGCTATTTTAAATTTAATATTACACCTATATATATGTATACTTTTATACAAAGTTTTAAAATTTTTATAGTAAATATTAATCGTTTGCACATTTAGTACAGTTCTTTACCTTTACATTCTAGTTTAATTGGTAGTTTTCTTTTGTTAAGTGTAAGAATCTATTTCATGTTAAAAAACAATACTATTTTTAATTGAGTCCTTAAATTATTCATCACTATTTGATTCAATTATCATCAATATATCTTGGTAAATAATATATTTCTCAAGGGGCAATTGATTTGATAGTGTCACGTTAAAAATGTGGTCGCCGAAATGTATGTTTGGTAGTGTATGTCTTATATTTAAGAAAAAACCAACAAATAACCGAAAAAACCGAAAAACCGACATAAACCGAATCAAGAAAAAACCGACTTAATTGGTTTGATTTGGTTCTAATATTTAAAAAACCAACTTACTTGATTTGGTTTTTTTTTAGGAAAAAATCGATCCAAA